ACGGGTGCGCTGTGCTCCAGAAGGGCGCACACGATTTCAACGTGGCCACTCTGTGCAGCGATATATAGCGGTGTTGAACCGTCCCGGAACTGTGCATCGACGGCTGCGCTGTGCTCCAGAAGGGCGCACACGATTTCGACGTGGCCGTTCGCTGCAGCGATATACAGCGGTGTCGAACCGTCCGGGATCTGCGCATCGACTGCTGCGCTGTGGTCGAGAAGGGCGCGCACGATTTCGACGTGGCCATTCTGTGCAGCGATGTATAGCGGTGTCGAACCGGTCCGGAACTGCGCATCGACGGCTGCACTGTGCTCCAGAAGGGCGCACACGATTTCGACGTGGCCGTTCCCTGCAGCGATCCATAGCGGTGTCGAGCCGGTCTGGAACTGCGCATCGACGGCTGCGCTGTGCTCCAGAAGGGCGCACACGATTTCAACGTGGCCGTGGTGTGCAGCAACGTATAACGGTGTCGCACCGTGCTGAGTCTGTGCGTCGATGGCGGCGCTATGCTGGAGAAGAACGTGCACAATGTCAATGTGGCCTTGTCTTGCAGCATAATGTAGTGGTGTCCATCCATATATCCCAGGAACACTGCTACCTGCATCTTGGCTTAGAAGTAACAAGACCACATCTTGGTGTCCTTGGTGTGTAGCAGCAGACAGTGGTGTTCCAAAGAGACCCCCCAGAGCATTGATTTCCATTCCCTTGACATTGAGCAAGGCTTGAACGTAGCGTGAGAGCCCCAAATAGGCTGCCCAATATACAAGAGATTGCCTTCCATTCTGGTGTTCGGGTCGTGCCTTCTGCCACTTGAAGAAGTGGTAAGGTGTGGTTGCAAGAAGAAATTGGGACAGCAGATTATCAATGGCTTCAGCAACTTGTCCAGGAAAGATGTGGTCTTGCCAATACCGCACAGCATAGTCATAAAATGGAAGGCTTGATGGTGATAGGTTGCCAGAGAGAAGGGTTAGGAAACACAGTCTTGCCAGAGTGATGTGTGCTGATGGATCATCAATGTGATATAATCTAAGAGAGGGTGGTAATTGGCCTGTGATGAGAAAGTCTAGTGCAGAGGCATGGACAAATTGGACAATCCGAGGACGTTTGACTGTGTCATCATGATTGTCAACAATCTCCACAAAGCTGGAGCACATCTTGACCAGGAAGCCTTCTGGGTCAGTGACACGAAGGCTGGGAATGAGCTTTGAGTTCAAGTTGCTGGTGGTTGAGAAGTTGACTGCAAGTAGTTCCACAAGCTCAGAGGGAGAGAGTGGCCGCTTGGCAAATGCAATACACTGGAATATCTGCTGTCTTCGCCTTGCAACAGTTCCATTTGACTCAAGGCTTGAAAGGATACGTTCATATGTCTGAGAAATTGTCTTGGGAAGACTGGTCAAGGCCTCTTCAATATCACCAGGAGGACAGCTGCACAGCATTTCAAGCTGCAGATTAACCCAGAGAAACCTTGCACAAAATTAAAATGAATTGAATCTAAAATAAGAATAAAACACTTGACATACATGCCATTTGCCATTGACATGAGCTTTTGCTGAGCAAGCTTCTTGATATCCTCTGGCCAGCTTGAGAAGTCATCTCCAGAAAGACCATGGGATACATAGACAGCCAAGTCACGAGTGTGTGCATCAGCATCATGGAGCTTGAGCTGGTGGGCAGGAAAACCAGATATAGCCTTCTGGATGTCAGCCTCAGGCCGACTTGTGAAGAGAATGCGTAGTAGCCCTCCAAGATTTCTTGACACAAGTCTGTGGAGGGTAGGAAATAGTTCATGTTGTCTGATAGAGTGTGGACACTCATCAAGAGCATCAATGATGATAACCACTCCACTGGTGGAAGTCTGGAGGATCTGCTCTAGGCAGTCAATAAGAAGCTCCCTGGTAGGGCTGAGCTTGGCCCTGTTCTCTGCACGGAACTTCATCAGGACTTGGTGACACTGTTCAGAGCAGGTAGCAAGTTGGTAGATGAGAGAGGCCAACAGGCCAGTTATGGTCTGCAGCTCAGTGCGGCGGTAGTCAAAGTAGAAGTAAGCCACATGCAGGTCAGAGGTGGACAAGATATGTTCAATGATAGATGAGCTATAGTTGCCAAGGTATTTCATTAGTGCTAACTGGGTGTTAGCCAACTTTAAGCTGTACACACCAAAGAACACTCTTCCCTGTTCCAGCTATAACACACAGTTATTGAATGACCACCCACAGCTGAATAGAAGACTTACGGTTCCCATGGATCCAGTACACACCATTCTTACTATCCTTCCACTCCTCAAACTTGCTGTCAAAGAACCATGTGCAAGTGCCTGCCAAGTGTGAAGTTTGTCGCTCCTCATGATTTTGACTTGGATCAGGAGGAGCTAGCCAGTCTTGAATGTCCTTATCAACTGCAAGCCTGGTTAAGCCAGATTGAATATCCCAGAGAAGCTGTCCTCACGGTGCAGATTGAGAGTGCTAGCTCCAATGCCTCGCAGGTCGGCAAGATCATCGCACACTAGAAATGCATTGGATGAGGATATGCAAAGATGTACTACAATGTGGTGATGACCAACCTGCATTGACATCATTAGCTATGCCTTGTGCCACATCAAGAATCTGAGCTGTATTGGCCAGAAGCTCCTCTTTTGTGAGCTTGTCTAGCTTCTCAAGCGCATCCTTCACATCCTTGTTTCCAAGGAGAGCTCGACCGTAGTCCCCTATCTCAATGATTAGGAATGACTCCCACAGTGATCTGAAGGTGAATATTCCCTACCCGTGCGCTTCAAAATTGCCTCACGCAATGACACTCGCTTCCTGACATAGTTTGTACAGATTGCGAGAACATCAAGCAGCTGGATGAGCGCGCAGACAAAGATGTCTTCCAGCTGGTCGTTGAGCACCGCGTGTGATCGCAGGTGATTGTGAAGACGTCCAAGGACCCCTCCGAGCCTCGACAGAAGTCCCTCGATAGCATCGAAGCTCTGGCTAACCTTTTCGGCTGCCTTGATGATTGTTAGCCCCGGAAATGAGAGTTGACAGAGTTTGGCCGCAAATGGCGGGCGTACCTCTAGAAGGACTCCGAACGCCGTGAAAATAGCCTTGCCGCCGGGCACCACACCCTGTTTGTAGATGAGAGAAAGGCAATTAACATAAGCAGAGCACACACTGAAGCCGCAGCCGCCTCGCCACCAGTGTCGATGAACAGCTTCGTGAAGGTAAAGATCGGTGCCACAACGGCCCGGGCCTTCTCGCCGTGTTTGCGAAAAGCCCTGAAGCCTTTCTTGTGCTCTTCGAGGACGCGAATGACTTCCTCGACGGAGTTTGCGTAGATCATTTGGTTGAAGAGGGGTGAGCGACGGAGGTCCGAGTCCGTAACATTGTTGTACTTGAGAATGGCGTCCTCCCAGAGCTTTTGAAAGCGTAAGAAGCTGGCTGAAGCGCCTTGATGTCCGGGTACAGGCTGTGTGTTTGGGATAGACATGATCAGGAGTGAATAATCGCTGTTGGATATGCAACTCGATGGGGGACGGGCGAGAGAGAGCCGGGACGAGCACCGTGAGGACCTCACACGCGCCCTGATACGAGGACCGTGGGGCAATAGGCAGGCAGTGCCCGACACGCGGCGAGAACTGATGCATCACCACACCCGTCGTCCATTTCGCTCGAAGCCAGCTCGCGTGAGTACATCATAGAGGGCATGGTCATAGATACCACGACAAAAACACTGCACAACGAAACATGGAATACGCATATGCGACCAGA